GAAGAAACACCAGAGGCTGCAGACAAACAATGTGTCTTATTTAGAAACTTCTGAAAGGATTTTAAGGAAATTGTTACCAGAGATGTAACTCATACCAAGGAAAAATTAATTAAAGTTAGGTAATGATCCAGATCATGTGTGAGTTTTAGTCACAATATGGGGCAAAATTTACAGCATGGCAGAGGTCTCAAAGTGCTTACCTAGTTTTCATTACATTTAGCGTCTGTTTGTTGATTTGTTTTTTGCTCTAAATTTTTCAAAACGCCTTCATACTTCAATTTTATTAGGTTGGTTTAGGTTTTATGATCATCTTTGCTTTAAACAGGGCTTTTAAAACTCCTGTTTTTAATCACTTGCTGGGCACAACAGTCTCTTCAGGGATTAAATCTTTAATGCTAAATTAAAGATAACAAGGAGCTGCTTCTTCAGCAAGGCTGTGTTGTGTTTTTAGTTGGTATGAATGCTTTTTACACACAGGTCAAGATATTTAGAGATAGGTGAGAAATAACACTTAAGTTTCAATACAAGAAAATATAAATATAAAAAAAAATAAGTACTTTAACAATCAATAGTTCCATTTATGAAACTACCCAAACTAAACTGACAATGTAACTAAACTGTCCTGAAACCCATAACAGGTTTTGTTGCCCAGTTGCCATTAAGCCTTTGTAATGGCGCAGCCATACCTTGACGAGTTAGCCAGCGTATGCCAACATACAAAAACTCTGGCGTACATTGGATTAGATATGGGTATGTTTTGTGTAAGTTATGAGCATGCCGAAGTACACTGGCATATGTCGACATACGGTAAGTGGGTGTAGAAATTCTGAGCATGCTGGATGAGCATATGCAAGCGTATGCTCATATGTGGGGCATAAGTTACAGGTAAGTTATGTGATTGTTGACACACATTAAAGGTGTAGTGGAGGATGTTCTTTTCTTCCACTATATATTTTGATTTTCATCAAAATAAGTGGTCCTCCTAATTGTAAATCATTCTGGTGATATGTTTACGTAAGGTCGTCCCATTTGATTGTCCCCATTTTCACTTACCGGTTGCCAGTCTGACATAGTGAAAAAATTTTAAATCTTCTTTTAGAAAGTAAGCTTGTATAAGCGATGCAAACAGTCACTTTTGAACATGCTCTCACATAAATTGAATAGGCTCTCTGCTTCTTTTTATTTATATTTTATTGGAGAGGGGGTGGGTCTTTTCAAAAATTTGTGAAAATCCTCCACTATACCTTTAAGTGTAAGTTATACATAAACTTATCCAAAACCTATGAATAACTTTTGCTTAACTGATCAGGGTGGAGGGTGGTAAACAGCAGCTAGGTTAAAACCGTGAATACACAGTTTAGAGAAAAGTTCTTGTACTTTTTATGCTGGCTGTCACCTCCGGAGACATTGCTGCCCCCCTCAGGACACTGGCTTTTGACATATCATGGTCATTATGTTGCCTGCTTTATGAATAAGTCATGCTGTCGTTTGACATAAGTTCTGGACTCATTATGAATACTCGATGTATACACCCAAAAAAGATTCATAGAAAGTTCGGGTTAGGCCAGATTTTGAGACGTCAGGCAGACAGCGCCATAATGAGTGGCAATTTTACATGACTGGATAAATTTTTTTGTCAAATTGCTTTAATGCATCCATATTGGAGGGTTTTCTAGTGTGAAGTCTTTTCACAGCATCTTAGCTAAATTTAGGTCCAGAGTTTGACATGGACCTTTTTTCTCATTTCTGAATCATGACCACTGACTTTATCTGAGGCCTGTAGATCATTGGATGGGGTTCTGGACTGATGGAGTAATTTTGGTGGGCCAGACAGTCCTAGGAAGGTTCTCCACTGTTCCATGTTTTAATCCTTTCCAGACTAGAAGATTTCACTTAGTTCTGTATCTTGGTCCAGGTGGGGCAGGATTCATTCTGAGACTTTTCTAGCCTACTTCATGTTGTGAGACGGGTTCAATTTAAAGTCAAACATAAGTATAAAACCTTTTTCATGTGGAATGTGCTGTATGCTACATAATAACCCCCTGTCCCCCCCACCACCTATAAGCAATCGTCAAGCATGGTCATTATTAACTGAGTAGAAAGCCCAGAATAGTGGTGCACAAACTGTACTAAGGAGAGTGTAAAGACACCTTTCCAATCATACTGCAAGCTGCAGTCAATCATCCTATACAGACTTAATGCAGCTACTTGTTCTTGAATACTCACATTTTTCAGTGGTTTGGGAGTTGTTAAAATGCTTTCCTTTGCATATATGCAGATTATTTTTCTGTATGCTTGTAATTCTGCCATGTTTATAACTATTGCCTTGATTTCCTTCCATTTTAAAATTTTGGGGGTCTGGTGCAGTGTATATGTCACAGTTATGAATAATCTCATGATATAAGTGACAGCACATTAATTAAGTTGCTAAGGAAGGCAGATGTCAGCACCTGGGAAAAACAGTGGTACTGTATATAGGAGGGCAATGGTACAAAAGTACTATTTATAATACTTCAATTTCACCGTTATATAAGTAATTAAAAAGTCACCAGTGTTTTGTTTGACCTGAAGTCTTTCCTTAATTTGAATCGTCTTTCGATTTACTACAAGTCTAACTTTTATTTATTCTAGTTAGAAATGGGGATGAGTGGGAACAAAACAAACATTTTACAAGGAAGAATAATGGCAGAGCTTTATTGAAAATGTATTAACCTTGAACTTCAAATAGAGGAGGCATAAGAAAAGGGAAAGAAAGTCAGCAAATAAGAAAGCAAGAGGGAACAAAAACCATGCCAACACAGTTTGCAACGATGAACATCCTCCACGTTTGCTCCGTATGAGAGGAAAAATATCACTATAAAAGTCCTTCCTGCATCTCTCTTTGCAGAGTTATAATGCTAAAATCCTGCATGGCTTCTTTCATTTAATGATGCATCACATTTGAGCACCAGAACACATTGCATAGAACAGAAAAGTTAAGAATAACTCACTTTTTTTTTTTTACATTCAGAGAGTGAGCATGTGTCTCTGTGTTAGAAAGCTTTAAAGGTTCCTGTTTATGTGGATGTCAGAGTGGGAAAAACGAGGATTTTATCTACTTCTAGTGATAAAAATCCACAAATCTAACACACTAACAAACACACATCTAGCATAATTTACCCCCCCAACCCAAGCCACACAGTGGCACAATAGAAATCATGACACATCATAAAACAATCAGGCTTATTATAGCTTAAATGGCTTATATCATAACAATTGTTAAAGTACAATTTAATACAGAAGTCAGATTTACAAATGGTTAAAGCATTATTGGAGAAATTAAGCGATATATTATAAATCTTTGCAGGTCTTTATCCCTTTGAATACAAACTGTGTACACGAGGAGGTATGTACGATAAGCAGATAGTCTAAATAACACCAGATCCGTTCTTTAATATCAATACTGAACAAACACCTTCTTCTGCATGTGATTTTAAGGTAACACACACTGATAGCATGGGTAGCCTGTCCCTGTGAGCCTAGCATCGTAAATAATGTAATTTCAAAGAATAATTAAAAATCTTAAAACATTAATATTACTGTTATGTTGTTGAAAAATTAGTTACCCTGACATGCAAAAGGTAACACCTGGTTCAAGAGGCACCAAGAGCAAAGTGGACAGATGTCTTCTTAAAATTTTCAAAGTTGTTTTTGTACTAATTATTGCAACTAATTAAGATCAAAAGAAGTACACTATTTCACTCTTAAAAGTGTAATCTGCAACATTAACTGACATTAAACCTACTGAGAAGTGTTATAAGTAGGGGAGTCAAAAGATGAATCTATATGATAAAATTGTTAGATTGGGCTAATTTGTTATGTCTTGAATGGAGAAAGCTTAGCTTGCCCCACTACTACTACTAGACCAAAACAATAATGTTATTGATTTAGTCATCTAACAAGTCTTTGACATCTCTTTGTCTTTTTTCTGTTTTATTTCTTACAAAAGCTGTCAGTTCATAAAAAAGCTAGACAGGATTGTCCTGAGAGATCTGACAGCAAAGACATGATCCTACTTCAGAACAAATCCAATTTCAAACACATCATAAGAAACTACTTCATGCAGCTTAATTCATGTACTTTGGAAGGGATATTTCTAAGAAGTCAACATTTGTTTAGTTCTCAAATGAAAACAGGAGGTGGTATGGCAAAAAATATAGTGTACAACATGTGTGGAGAATAGAAAGTGTGTTTTTGATCTAAGTCACTGCCTGTTAGGAAAATATTTGTGGTTCATGGTTCATCTGTTTGGACGTGTTGCTTTTCTAGTTGAAGCCACAAAAAGAACCACTGTTTCCATTAACTATGCACATGCACCCTGTTTTATTAATAAGGCAATGTGGGACGGTGCTTCTTTGTTCTATAGGTGCCTGCTCTGTCTCCTCACATCCCAGTTGGTTGTGGAAATTGGATGCTCACATTGTCCTGTGTTCCACAGGAGATTATGAGATTAAGGGAGTTGCTTATTCCCACTCTCACCACATGCTTGCTTTAGATTACAATCAATAACTGATGTTAGATCACAACTTAAATCTAACTGGCTCCCGCATGGAAGACCTTTACCAAATTAACTGCGTGGCTTTATTAATAGGATTAAGCAAAAGAATCATGAATTTGTCTGTGTGACTGAATTAAAATTATACATTTTTTTGTGTGTTTTCTCCTTCTTATAAAGTGTTTTCAGAAGACATTTGTTGTGGTTTGGCCCTATATGAATGAGTGAACTGAACTGAATTAGTTGCCATAATTTATTGCATTATACATTTTTTTTTACTGCTTTATTCCTATATCTGTCAACTACTTTGACTGGTTGTGTTATTGTTATTATTTGTTTCACTCAGGAACATGATTGGTGTTTTACTGCCTCTAACCTCCATTTTCCATGAGAATAATATAGAAAAAAGTAAGAAAAAAAAAATAGTAGTTTTTTAGGATTTATTTTTTCTTATGAATTTCTAAATCCAATAGTGTAGACTTTCACTGCAGAAAGGTCGAAGCCAAAATTAAATAAAAAGTCTGTTTCAGCAAGAGAAGCCAAATTGAGCTCCTCGCGGTTTAGCATGAAATAACTTAATAATTTCAGATGCAAAATAAGCATGAGGCCTCTTTCAGTAGGTTCTAATATGTGTGAATGTTTGTGTGAGACATCATGAAGTTCAGTTACATTTACCTCTACATGTGAATGATAACATCTGGACAAAATATGTTTTACAAACAACATGTTGAATATGGCTCAACGTGGTGGATGAAATAAAAAATTTTTTTTACACTTCACCCCATTTTCACATAGACTATTAATAAAGAACTGTACCTCTCTATGACGACAGGAGACAGTTGGTTTTGCTGGTAGATCTATCTCGTTAGAGATAAAAAAAAAAAAAGGAAGTGTTAAATTAAAGAAAAAAATGCCAAACAGGAGCAGCAGGAGGGACGCGGATCCTAAACTAAAACACACCTGTTTGCATTATCACAGAGGTTACATGTGGAAATGTTCAGACAACCCTACCAGAGAGTTTGATATGACTGGTAGCATGCTTCCTTTAATGTGCGTCTTTCCCCAGCGTCACGTAAGATGCAGGGCTTAAACGCTACAGTCTATGACTTTAAATGGAGGAGGGACTCTGGGGGGAAGGATGGCACCGATGTGCAGCTCAGGCAGTGAGAAGACTGGACTTCCACAAAGGAAGCATAAGCAAGCGATCCGATCCTGCAACATGCAGTCACAGAGACAAGCATGCAGTATCCCATTCTGGCCACAGAGAGGAGGTGCTGATGTAAATGCCACGAACTGTTACATGACCTCTCCCTGAGGAGACCTTGGTGTTAACAACTTCCTTTACCCGAAATGCAGTGACAAGCTGTATGCGCAGCATGTTCCTGAGGGCTGGGTCTGCGGGTACGTCACAGGAAAGCACAGGGAGGACTGCCAATCCCCAGTGGCAGTGGTATTTATAAATTCAAAGAACTCTGTGTCAGTCTACCTTTGGCACAGCAATGTTAAAAACTTAATTAAAAAAGAAGAAAAGATTGTCTTTTGGCATGATTGTCAGTTGAGAATTCACAAGAGAAAGATAAAAATTTTAAAGTTAAGAAGTTTTTTCCCCATATTCTCAACAGCTTTTTCTCCACTATCTCTATCTTTCTTCTTCTCAAATGCTCAAAGAGCAGTAATATTGTAAAGTCTTTGTGTGTAAATGCATAACTGCATCTCTTACACAATAAAACAGAAATGTGAAAACACAACACACTTATAAACCCCATCCTTAGGGGGGGTCTCTGCAGCCACACCGTCTTCAATATGCATGCCAGGAAGTCCTTTGTCGTGTGGATCCTAAGTGTCATCCTCACACTGAACATCTAGCAATTCAATGTTAGGAGATTTATTCCGACAGGTCGGATATGACCAGTTTCTCCATTTTATTTCCAATCTCTCCTGGTATTTGAAGCTCTTCAGATTCATAGTCCTCATCAAATGTCCTGTGAAAAAAAAACAACAACAGTCATACAATAAAAATAGTAAAAGTATTCCCCATGTTTTATTGTATAGATGGTTCAGGGTTGTTTTTGCTTTTCATCTGACCATAACACCTTCTCTCACAGATTTCTATGTGCCCATCTGTACTTCTTTGTGGGTTTCTTACAACTAAGCCATGTATTGATTTCTCCCTTTAATGGTTGCAGTAATAGCCATTCAACATTTCCCCAATTTCCTTCATGGGTCCTTGGCTGGTCCTCTACAATTCCTTTTTAAACATCAATCTTTATCCTAAAATATTCTCTCTGTCATGATTTGTGGACATTAAGATCTAAAGAGAAGCATTATCTCCTTTTAATTGAGTGACAGGGTGGAGTCAGTGTAAAAAAAATAGGCATGCCCAGGACAAAGAAGGGATCACTCTAGTGGCTGGAAGTTTGACTGGGAAGGTTCATTTGGAATGGCTGCCACTGTATGCACCACTTTGTGTTAAATGCACACATTTGTTGGATGTAATGTGACTAAATGTGATAGGGTTTAATAGGCATATATAGTTTTAAAAGGTAGGGTGAAAATGTTCCAGTGTGTACCCGTCATGGAGCTGTTCGTTTGCAGTCTCCTCTGCAACCAATATCTCATACTCTTCTGCAGCATATTTATCCCAGTCAGATGGCTCTGGACCTTCACTGTCAAAGTCCTGGAACACGCAGATTTGTATTTATTTATTTTTTGTACAGCTACAAAATAAATACAGCAAAATAACTTAATAGGTTCATGCAAAAATCAATGAGTAGATTACATAGGTCGAAGATTTAAAACACTAAAAATCAAAGGGTTTGTATGATCAATGGAAAAAAATGCAAGCTATTCTTTACAGAGGGGAATGTAAAAAACATCCCATTAAATGTAGATCTAAGGGATTTTATTTTTCAAGATTTTCTTAATATTGTATTCATCATACAGATCTTAAAACCTTTTCCCCTGGTACCTAGAACTAATTTGTTTTCATTGCAAACAAGAAATGCAGATTGGCACCTTTTGCACTGCAAATGGATCTCTTTGCTCGTGGTCCAGGTACTTTTCCAGATTAAAGAAGGTGTCGAAGAATATGTGAGCCATCCTGCAGCGCTTCAGATCACTTAGGGTTATCTTACCTAAAAGAAAGGTTTTTATGTGTTAGTTCTTGCAGGTGTGCAAAAGCACTGAGTTAGCATGGGAATTTAAAATGAAGAAAACATATTTAACCTGGATTCTCAGGCTTGACCAAGTCAAGCATCTGGCAGAGCAAATCCTGGAATGGCAGGGGTTCGATGCCCATTCTCTCCATCCTCTCACACTGCTCTTCATAAAAGTATTCCAACTCGAACATAGACAGGACACCATCACCATCAACATCCATGCAGCGAAACCAGTACTCTATACTACAGAGACCAATGGAAGATAAAATGTTAAGCAGGTTGCTGATACTGACGTTTAAAAATTGGCTGAAAACAATAAAACGATGGTGAGACAGATATATGTCCAACAATACCTAGTTGGATTTTTCTTGTCTTCCTCAGACAAGAGGAACCAGACAAACTCCGCATAGCTCATCCTGCCTTCTATCTGCACAGCGTTGCCCCTGGAGACAAAACCGACTCAGCCGTTTGCACCCAGCACCTCTTTTATGTTGCAGTAATCAACTTCTCTCTGTGATTTCACTTACCTGGTAACAGCACCGGAAAACAACCTGTCGATGATTCTGTTTGAAGATGCTGAATGATGGGGGGGGAATGAACAACGTGAATTGGACCATTATACGGAAATGCTGTATCTAAGTTAAAATTGCTCTTACTGTGGTCGTTGTATCTTGCCAGGTCCTTGGGATCAATGTAGAGGTCATGGTCAGTGTCCAGCTCCCAGAACTTGCAGTAGATAACATAGAAGTGTTCGTAGGAGAAGTAGTCTGTGATCTGGTTGATGTCGTCCTCTTCTTCCAGGAGGGCCAGGGTCTGCAGAAAGTTACTCCTGCGCAGCTCAGTCATAGTGATGCGGCCCGTCCAGGAGCGGTTCACCACATAAAATATCCGCTGGATCACCTGTTTAAAAAAGAAAGATACATACAGTACATTCACTGGGAGCTATGACAAGAAAAAATAGAAATATTTTTTAAAGATTTTGTTTAAAAAAAAAAAGATTTCCATTTCTCTACTACCAAACTTAATGCAGCTCATTTATCTTTGGATGCCTTAGGATTTTTTTTTATGTTTATTGATTAACATAAATAGTGTACCACCAATCACATCACAGTCTGTGAAAACATTTACTCATATGTATTTGTACATTCAAGATGACTTGTTTAAGTTCAAATGGATCATCAGAACAGGGAACAAGAGCGATTGACTTTGAATGCACCAAGCTTTTATTTCAGAGGTAAAGGAAATAATCCAGAAACTTCAAATCTATAGGGATTTTCACACACAATCAGCTCTCAGGTAAATGCAGGATGGTCCAGAAAGAGTAAATATGAGTGGCAGATCTGAAAATGACACAGGGTGTCAGAAGCTAAAATAAGACATTATTACAGCCAAATAATCCAGAACAAATCTGAGCCCTTGAGAATTAAGCTAGTTCTGATGGCAACAGGTGGTCTAATCCAGCACTAACAAGGCATACCTATTATAGTAACTGATAAGGTGTATACTGGCATGATAAGTTACCATCTGTTGTATGCAAGCAACCTTAAAGGTACTTAATCATTTTATTTCTATAGATTCTGTTTAAAGGTTCTTAGTCAAAGAGCCATCAAGACCCCAATGCATTTCAGTCATCTCAAAATTCAATATCATCAATTCAATTCAATTCAGTTTATTTATATAGCGCCAATTCACAACACAAATCATCTCAAGGCACTTTACAGTTCAACACATCACAACTCCAGTCTCAAAATTGGCGTTGCAATTTATGCCCATGCCATTTTGTACTAAAAGAAAAGAAATGTTGGCTTAAATCATGATCATATATTAGCTTTGCATATCACTTTATTTTTATATAAAATTGGAAACTGTGACCAGAAACACTCAGAAGATAAAAAGTTATACACCGCCTTCTTTATTCTCCGCATAAACATTTTGTTAATAATGGTGCATAGCAAAGGCGACTGCAATTTTCAGATGAATAAAAAGATTTTTTTGACTTTTTTGACATTTAAGTTTATTTATGTCAGTAGAATTTCAAACTAAGTTCCTTGGAGCTAGCTTTAGCCAGTTACAGTAGTTTCTACATAAAGCTAATCTGATTACTGTTAAAGGAAGGTGCCAAGAGAAGCTGCATCCTAGTTGTCCTTAGTCAGACTTTCTGAATGTTTGTCCAGTTATTTCAACTGGAATGGCCTGTGGTGCAAGGATATTAAGTACAGATCCTCTTTTAACAGAATCTCATTTAAGACAAAAAAACCCTATAACCCTTTAAAACAGTCCTTAACTTTAAGGGCTGCTTTGTACTCTGATGTGTAGCAATAACCTTCACAGAGAAAATGATTATGACAGTAATAAATTGACAGATCCACATAAATCGTGACCAGGACAGCAAATTGTCAGGTTACTGAAAATATGGTTTTCACTCCAAGGAGTGAAGATTAGTTCACAATGAAAACCAGGCGTATCAGGGCCACACTTAGTTAAACAAATTAAAGGTTAGCATGCATTAACTGGTAAATCGACCTCCAATAGCTGCTAATGTCTCAGACAGGGGTGTGTTAGCTGACCTACAATCTGCTGAAAGGGTCTTAAAATGGACATTTGGCAGACCGGGACCTCGGCTGCAAATGGAAATGTAGGTAGCTTTGTTTCCGTGATGTCACGATGCACTGACGCACTCGAGAATCTCTGCACTTCGGTGCAGCGAAACCTCGACTTCAGTGGCACGGGTCGCAGCTGCTCCAATCCACATTGATGAATCCACTGCATCTAATGTTACACACTTGGTATTAACGGGAACGGCTTTGCTGCCAATAAAATAAAGGCTCTATGGTATTAAGAACGTTATTCAATGGATTAAATAAAGACACATTGATATCCTAATGTCATAATTAAGAGCAATATCTTTAAATCAGCCAGTGATAGAATTATCAGGACCAATGTTGTGTTCTAAGAATTAGAATACATGAGTGGATTCTCTAAAGGAATACTTAAAGCTGTGCCTGAGTAACCACACTGTTGGTGCACTTGGTAAAGACTTAAAATTAATAGGTTTTTCTTTTGAGTAGAAAAAACTTATAAAACATTTTGAAGAAAAAAAAAATCAACCCTGTTTAAAGAATATGTATTATGTTGTTTATTGAATAAAGTACAAATAATTATTAAATATGTCAATTAGGAAATTTAATCTGAGAACCAAAAACCCACCGGTAAAACAAACAAAGATCAGTGGGACAAATACTGATCTGCTGTTTCCTGTCCTCATACTTATGCTAATTTGTACCCTGTGATGTTATCTGTTCAGGAGAAACAAACATCTTAATGGGTTTGAACAAGTGTTTACATGACAACTCAGAATGTTTTTGACTCAGCTCTAGGATATAGCTGTCCTTTATGCTGATTTTAAAGCAGAAAATACCAAAATGCACCACAAATGTTTGGAAGATAGTTCAAGTAGGGCTGCAACTAATGATTATTTTGTAAATTGATTAACCTGTCAATTATTTTCTGATTAATTGATTAATAATCGGATAGGCAAAGGTTCTTTAAAGAAGACAGTTTTGCAAAATTTAACCATGTGAAACTTAAACTTTTCAACTTGTGGAGTTCTGGACAGTGCATACAAATAAAAATAATTTTTTTATCTTAAATGCAAATTTTTTATATATTTTTTACAATCTTGGCACAATTACTGCTCTAAGTGGGTTGCTCTTTCAGCTAAAGACACATTTTAGAGTCGCTACATACAATTTAATGATTAATCAATAACTGAATTAGTTGCCGAATATTTAAACGATAGATTCATCACGATTAATCCAATTAATTGTTTCAGCCCTAATTTTGACCATGCGACCAACATTAAGAAAGGGAGGACAAGTGCAAGGATAGACGTAAGGGCATAAGGAACAAAAGAGGTAAAAAAGAAGAACACAGACGAAATACAAGCACCGTGTAGGAAGTAACAACATAGATAGGGATAAGGTCACTAGGAAAGTCACAGCATTTTTTTTCAATGCGCTCATTTTCTTTTTTCTAACTATTAAGACCCAAAACCATTAAATTCTAGTGCTTAAAAACGTTTTCAGTCTGAGTAGGAACTTTTGATTAAAGTTAATGGAAATTCTTTCTCATCTTATTGTGTAATATTAATGTACCTGGTTGTAAATATCAATATAAATTCAAAATAGAACTACTACAACATAAACAAAATGGTTTACATTAAATCACCCAATTAAGACAATATACCATCTAAATAATAACTTTTTCCATTAATTTCGCCATGTACCGTTGTAATGTAGCGTGAATGGAATTCAGGTGCATCCTTCAAAAACGTGAGCCCTGGATGTGTGTCCACAATGTCCTATGAGACAAGGAGAAACAGTTAAAAAATAAAGACAATCTGTGCATTAAAACAAACACAGCAGCACAGATTTGTGTCTAAACCAAGAGTAGAGACAACACCAACCTGGAGTAGAGGAATGAAGTCTTCCTGTTCCAAAGAGTTAAGCCCAGGTTTAGCTAACAGGTAAATAAACCTGGATGAATCATCATGAAAACTGTGCAACAACCTGCAGAAGAGAGGAGGGGAAATATGGAGATTAGATTTCATAATCTGACTTAAGTTAAAATAATTTTAAAACAATAAAAAAAAAAATGTATTCTTACTTCCTCCATGTTGCAACGAATGAATGAACTGAAACACAGCCTTTCCTCTCACCACCAGCAGCATAAAACATGGGAGCTTTCCAGTAAAGTGGACACCCACACACCTGAACAGAGACACAGACAAACCCACCAGCGCTTAACTGAGAAAACATGCAACATGGCTAAAAATTAATACAAATAATAAAAATATTGCTAAAGATGTGCACAATTCTTAAGTAGAAGAAAAGCCATGCATGATTTTCTTCTCATTAAACATTCTACATCCAACAAGCATAAATATATCTATTATTACAATAAAGTCTAAAAGAATCAAGAAAGAGCGTATTTAAGAAAGCAATTTTCTATTTTAGACTGAAGTTCTGCATAGAATTTCTACAATAGAATAACAATAAGATTGCGTAAATATTTTTCATTCACTTTGTTTTGTTATTAGGTTACAAACAAGATGCAGATTTGTTCAAATTTACTTATAATATTCTAATTGGTATAGTCTTCTATTTTCTAGGTCATAATTATGTTGATAACATTATGATTTTATAATTTATCATTAACAAAACAACATTTTAGAGATGGTATTTGAAAACTTGTTATTGTTGTTGAGTTGTTCTATGAAAAGAAACCCTGTTTAAATAAATTGTATTTCGTAGAACAGGGAACAAAATTTGCTGGATTGTAAAATTGTTGACCGCTGACCTAGAGCCTGAAAATACCTAAAATTTACTCATATAATGATGAGCAACTTGTCAGATTTTTTTTTTTTTTATCTGATATAGGTCTGGACCTTTATTGGTCCATTCTAACACATTAAAGGTACAGTGGAGAATGTTCTTTTTCTGGGTGGATGGTCAAAATAAGTGGTCCTCCTAATTGCCAATCACTCTGATGATATGTTTACATAAGGCTGTCCTACGTGCTCAGCCCCATTTTCACTTACCGGTGTTGAGTCTGACATGGTGGAAAAATCTTTTGGAAACTAAGCTTGTATGAGTGATGCAAAAAGCAACTTTTAAACAGAGAGTGCACGAGGAGAAATGGTCTTGTGCATGCTCTTGCAAGTTCCCACTCTGGAGCAGGTACAGGGTTGTGCAAATGCATTTGATTTTTTTTTGCAAAGTGGAGAAGGCAGGTTTTTTCAAAAATTTGAGAAAATCCTCCACTATACCTTTAAGATAGCTTGATATCAACCATGCCATTGTGGTTCTGGCTTTTTCCCATCTCATCCTGGTGAAAGATGGCTATTCCACCTGCTTTAGCTTCTCCACAGCTTTGTCACTGATCTTTTGCTTTGATCATACTGCTTCCTTTATTAAATTTCACATAGGTAGAATCTATTTATATAGGTGAGGCCAATTTGTTAAACTGCACTTTATTTGGTGGCATCGGATTAAGGGAACAAAATCAAATGGACCCCCCCCCACTTTTCACATTTGTGTTTGTTACTGTGTGTTGGTCTACTCTATTTGATAAAATATCAGTTGATTTCTACAAAACAGTATAAATGTCAGTAAAAAATAACAAATTTAAAGTAAATGCTGACCTTTGCAATCCTCCCCATTTCATAAATGTTAGCCTTCTCCTCCTCGAACTCTGCGAAGGCCGTCTCTATGGCAGCAATGGTCGCATCGTGGTTGGCAGCCTGGCCAAGGGCAGGGAGCCCACGGGGGTAGTAGAACCTGGGAATGTTAACGGCAGGAGGGGGGGGTGCGACGATAACGGGGGCAGGAGGAGGGCTTGGCGAGCGCGGTGCCGGGGGTGGAGAGGCCGCGATGGTGGGGGGTGCAGGAGGAGGTGTTCCTGGCTTCTTTTCTGGTCTGGGCTGGAGCTGAGGAGATCAAGGTACAGTATGGAGGCATATTACCAAACTGATCAAATCATATTACCGTACATATGGTGTTTATAATTTGTACTTTCACAGTAAAAGATATACTCTTTGAAAAAAAAAAAAAACAACACCACACAAAGCTACAAATTTAGCCCCTTAACTAAAAGCATACATGGATGTGAGACAACACACAATAACCACATTTCTGGGAACATAATAAATATATTTTACGCACATGGAAATTCCCAGTGAGTGATGAATATTTAACAAACTTGTTTTGCAATCAGTTAGTCACTATGTCAGTCAACAGACTGCATAACATTATTAACCGAGGTGTTGGCAGGGAAAATTCAGAGTGGTGCAAGACCATGGAAGACAACATATCGCAGTGTGGAGGCTTCCTTATCATAATCTCTAAAACCCTAATAAAGTAATAAAAAAGAAAGCTAGCTGTTATAATAATGGGATCGTTCAGTTGAAAAATCCAACCTGTATAAACCAGTTAGTCAGATTGACATCACCATATCTTTCCATTAATTTCAACTCTTATTAGTGCCAAGCCCAATAAATACTGAAAAATCTAATCAGATTTTTTCCCAATTTTTTAAATGGATGAAAATTAATTATCAGTGTGAAAATTAGCCTAAAGCAGCACCAACATTGGAGCCCTTATGTGAGTTCTATATCACATAAAGTGTGATGTGATGAATAAAAAGTAAATTGTGAGAAAAGATGTTGAACCAGTCCTGAGTGGAATAAAAGGTTCCAGATTGCACAGAACATTACTGACTGTTGCAAATTGAATCTCCAGGCAGACCTTAGTGGAGTCCTCTCGTGGGCCTCCATGCTATCTGTATTGAGCAGGACAGCTGTGGCTGTGTTTCCCTTCAAAGCGTTCATTCTATCACTCTATTCCTGCAATCCACTGAACTATAAATATACCCCCAATACCTGTCTCAAAATAGTTTGCCATACGTGGCATGAAACTCTGTGTGTCTAAGAGCAACAGGACGCGACTACTGTATTTGTGTTTTCAATGCAACATCATTGCGAGTGCTTTACATGACGAATACATGATTGAATGCATTCTTCTTTCACCTCTGAATGCTGAACCGACTGACCTGTTGCTGCTGGAAAGACTTGAGTCTCTTCTTGAACCGTGAGGGCAAGACAAAGTCACACCCCCTGGCCAGAAAAGCCAGCTCCCCTCTCAGGTCAGGATCCCGCCGTAACGAGTCCTCCTTGACCTCCTTGATCATCATGGTGGAGGCCGACACTCACAACCCCCTACGATATATTTGGCCAATGACACGGCTAAAGATAAAGTGGCTTTCCAAGGGATCAAACAATCGTTTAAGTGTATTGAAGGAGTTTAAAGAAGAGCTCCCAAATCTGACAACATCCCAAAAGCCACGCAATCCAGCAAAATGTCCTTTGGCAACAACTTGCACTTTTAAAATCTATGTCCTATGTACTCCACTTCTACAGACGGAATTTAAAAGCTGCATTCTGTAGAGCGGTATTCCATCAACGAATCTGAGTAAGGAGGCATTCCTCTGGCGTCCTTTACCACGGAGAAGAACGGAGCACAGCAGCATGGTAGTAGGTTCCTTTATCTCCAGCTGCAATCCCAAACTACAGCATCTGTCCTGTGTAGAAACCTCAAAGCTGTCCCCATGTCAGCTTTAGATGCTTGCATTTGAAGTAGCCTGGCTGGAGCCTGTTGCTCCAAGCTGGGGTTCTGACAAACTGCGGTGAGAAACATGAGCCATGTCAGGCTCTGGTAATAACACACACACACGTTAGCACACACATGCAGGGAACTGTCTGTCCCAAGCATTAGGGTGGTGGGTAGGAAGGGTCTGCAATCATGTAGCATATCAGTGTCTGATGTTTTGCATGAACCGTGTCTTCCTCAGTTCCTGCTTGGGACTAATATTAGCCAGTAGGAAGTTACAACTTAAAGTGTTTGAAATAATTCTTCGTCAAACAGGAAGCCTGTCCTAAACCTTCATATGAGCAGCCTGGACTAGTAAGCTAAAATATTTTCATATCAATGTAATTTGAGATGAAGTGAAGAATCAGTGGCAAAGCAACTCAAATGCCATAATCTGCACTCAACTAGAACTTAGGTGAAAAACATTGATAATTATGTGATGATTAACTCTATTTAATAAAAAACCAATGAAAAATTTAATGTTCAGCATTACAGTTTAAATTTATCTAAAAAAAAATTGTAGTTAACAGGCCTCTTAAGTATACTTAAGATTATTGATAACATAATTAATAGATCTTTCCAAAGTTCCAAAATAAGAAAAAAAGTTTGTAATATTTGATGAAAATATGATGAGGAATGTATAAGTTGTGATAGCAGCCAGTTTTTAATACCCTCTGTAATGGCCTGGAATAATTTGTACTGTAAATTGGTTTTGTTACTTCTATACCTTAAGATAACTTGCAGGAATTTGCAATTTATGATTTATTACGAAACTCTTCTGCACTCTAACAATTAAAAAGTTGCCATCTTAATTGAGTTAAATTCACACAGGATCACATGAGAGCCTTATAAAATATTTAGGGAAAATAGCCTTAGGCGACTACCTGCTCTCTCAAAAATCAGTTTAGTTGATGGAGAGCTCAACTTTAAAGTCCTACAACTAAAACAAAAAGAAATAATAATAATAATCTGTGGGACGGTAGTAGGAGATTCTGAAAGGTAACCTGGAAAGAAACACCGCGGGAGTGTAGGCAGTTGAAGATACTGCTGAAGGTCTTGAGAGGAAAGACGGGGTTAGAGTTTCAACTGCAGGGACATGATCAAAGGAAGACTGTTCTCTGAACCCTTCACTCCCCTGAGATCTTTGGGTGGCGCATCAATGAGTGCTGGTTATATTATCAGCGTTGAAGGTATCTTTTAAGGGAAAGAAACCTTCTCCTTGTGTGTGGCAGAAATTGGCATTAGTAAGGTCTCAAAAAATGCTTCAGAGGAAACTGCTTAGCTCTTTTTACCTCTGCTACATAATAATGATCAATTAAAAATATTAGTATTTCCACATATGCAGTGTGAGAAAACAAAAAACAAAAAAAATTCAATCTAACCCCTAAATCCTCAATCACTGTATGGAGCGGGTACTATGTAGTGGACTTTATAGTGAACTCATTTAAAGGTGTAATGGAGGGTTTTCATGAATATTTAAAAAAAATTCCCGTGCACAACCCTATACCCGCTCCAGAGAGGGAACACCTATTAAACGTGTGTGAGAGAATGCACGGGCCAGTTTCTCCTCGTGCATGCTCAAGTTGCTATTTGCATCACTCATACAAGCTTACTTTCTAAAAGAACATTTGCATTTTTTCCACAATGTCAGACTCACATTGTAAGTGAAAATGGGGACAAGCATGTAGGACGGTCTTACGTAAACATATCACCAGAATGATTGACAATTAGAAGGAACCACTGATTTTGGCGATCCACCTGAAAAAAGAACATCCTCCACTATACCTTTAACTGACAGTTTGGATAGAGGATCATTACTTTTCACTCCCTGTTGGGTTCCAGCTCTCTACTGCATCTTTGTTCTCTCTCGCCCCCAAAACAAATCCCATGATGCCTTGCGAGGAGATCTCTTGAAAAGCATTCTGGGATATATCTGCACGTATAGAGACCATGGATTCACACTACTTTTTAAGGTGCATTGTAGGAACTTTTGAGTCCACAAATTTTAATCCATTAAACATGCGGACACTCAGATAAAATGGTGTTACCTTTATATAGTGCTCCATAAAGGGTTTGGAGTGTCATTCGGACACAGCCATTGTTTTTAGCTAGTTTTATATTGTTCTGAAGGAGAGATCAGAATCCCCTCAAAGTGGAGTTGGTTCAGAACCTAATATGTATATTTTTTTTTTATTTGGAAAGAAAGGCCATCAGTGGGCAGCTGTTGGCCGGGGCATTATTACAGTTATATATTTACAATGTACTATTATAACACCACACAACAAAAATCTAACATATCAATTTTTAATACGTTTACAATCAAACTCTCCATCCGGTTGTTGAGATTAGTGCAACTGCTGAACAGATGAAATCCTGCATTTTGACTGGTGGCGGAATGGCAGGAAGAGGAGCCCGCCCAATGAATGCAAGGGACCCAAAGGAATGATGTGGTAAATGAATTATGGAAATTGGTGACCGGTACTATTCATATTTAGAGACAACATAAGAGTATTTTTTCCTTCTGTTTGGCTAACCACTTCTGTGAAGATTTATTTATTCATTTGTTCATATTAACTCATATTTCAATTCTAATAAAAAGATCTACTCTAGAAAGGTTCTGAGGAAATTTGGAAGAAAACCAGACCCACAGCAACATAGATTCCCACCATTCTAAAGATAAATCCCTTGCTTTAGAGAAAACCCATATGCAGTATTTTGTGATGGAAATGGTCAATCCTCGTCTCATTTTTATTAAAGCACAGATTAAAGTTCCTGTAGAGTTTGGTTATTTCTCTATGTTTATGTCTGTGAGGGCATCACTTTGTTGCTAGTCAAATCTTTGTTGGTGGTCCCACCCCCCTGCTTTTTATGTTCTTCACAAAGTGCAGTCTAATAGACATTGGTCCTTGCATTTGGGGTATAAATATTTTTCTTATTATTATTAGGACCATTTCAGAATATGAATGGATAAAATTCTTGTGTGGCTCTCTTTTAGGCCAAAACAGGAAGGAAATCTAGCACCCTCTAGTGTTAAATTTAGTTATAAAAGTGCTGTTGGAAAGAAAAATTGGTTAAAAATATAAATTTTATCCTCACTAAATAATTTTCTCAAGAGTTATATACTCAGAAAAACTGGTTAAAAATATAAATTTTATCCTCACTAAATAATTTTCTCAAGAGTTATATACTCTTCTGTATTTTAGCACTAAAGTGAAATGTTTTATTCTCACAGGGCCGGAGAGGATATGAGAGTGTCTGTTGGTCTTTGAAAGTCACAGTGCCT